GAGTATATGGGTTTCCAATCAATTTCCTAAGACATTATACCCGAGAAACAAGCTCTTTAAGAGTTGGTAATGAAGAAGAAATAGCTCACTATTTAAAAAATTGTTTACTTATATGCTAGTCGATTATTTTGTAGAAAAATATTTACATAAGTAGAGGGCAAGCATATAATTATGCCTTCTCAAACTATCCTGACTCTATTGTGGGGTAGCCTGCGGACTTACATTTGTACGAAACAGTTCTTGACGGCTTCTGCTTCGTTCTATCGCCATCTATGGACTTGAATAATATCCTTCCAAACTGCCTGGTATTTCGATATCTTGCCTCTCCTTCCCGAACATTTAAATGACTGGAGATTACAATAGGTAGTTATGCCCAAATTTGTCTGATAAGCAAATACTTTCTAAACCTGTAAGTCGAGAGAATGACAAAGCTACACCCAAGTGCTCATCCACATGCTAACTTATCGCCAAGTTTATGTGATCAGGGAGTGGACAGTTGATTTCTCCATAAAAATACCACAAAGATGCGTGGCTATTGCAAGGAAGGTAAAGCATGTCTTGAAATGGAAGTCTGGGGGGTTGTGCTCCATTTGGTCATCTCTTTGTACTTAGCACCTTCAGAATACTTGAGCAGTTCATTTAAGTTGGAGTTTAGAATTCAAGACAATAAGAGGTTTGCTATTTCACTTATTTCAAAGAGCAGTGGGTGGTTCTGACACTCTCTTCTTCCCTCCAGTGTGCTCACAACTTTGAAACCAACTAAGAGTTGTTGTTTAGCAGAGGTCACTGAACTGTATTCATTCAAGGTGAAGGATAATTTCCTACCTTAAATGCATTACAAAAATGTGTTCACTACCTTATCATTGTTAATGAGATCACAAATGAACAGTTAAAATCATTCTCACGACACGGTCTTTTGACGTTAATCATGCCCTTCAAACAACCATCACTCCCACTCTATGTCATATTCGACCCCTAACACAGTACTCATCTTACCTTTCTGTCTCTTTTACATCTGTGAATCACTCTTGTATTCCCCCTCCCGAATTCTTCTCACTTTGATGTTTCTCCTCCCCTCTGTGAAGCTTGAAGTCAACTAAAGGACTATTGATAACTATCAAAACGACTGCCATTTGCTATAAATACTTACCTCTCGGATAAGAAACGTAGATTTCGGGAATTTGTAATCAACTATGTTGGTCATCACATCCACTGTGTTTGTGTGTGCTTGTGTGTCGATAATAATCGAACATGCGTCCACCGACTTTGTGTACGTACACGCCAATCACTAACCTATTCAGGGGATATACTAAATAGTTTTTTACTACCATCTTAACTGAGTGTTACCATTTGTTAAGATAATGTAATGTGTGTACAATTGGGATGTGGGGTAAGCATTTGGGGTGGGGGGGGGGGGGGGAGCAGATGACTCACTTGTTATCGTAGCAGTAAACAACAATCAGTCTCATTCCTGATTTAATTGGATTCTACTACTGCCCTGGCGAATTCGTATTAAGCAAGAAATAAGCCGAAACAGCCTTTTCTCTACCTAATATAAGTGTGTACTTGCTTTGGATACAAAGTGTCCATCTGTCTCCAAATCTGAAAGTACCGTTTTTTTGCGAATCTCCCACCATCAGATATCATTGAAGGTAGTGCGTTTCCACCTTGATAGGATGTGTAAGACACCACTTTGCCAGGCATCTAACCACCTATCATTTCGAATTCTAAATGAGTAAATTTATTTTGTTAGTTAAAAGTGCTTATTTCACTGGTCTTTTTTCTTGGGGCTTGGCTAGTGTAGCCCAATAAGTGGCAACCGAGCTCTTTTATTAAAAGACTCGTTGTAGCATTTTCGTGGAATTAAAGAACTAAGCCCACTGGTTAATGCCTGTAGTTTGCAAAGAAAAATAACGAAATTTGACTTCACTAGGAGCTAGTAAGTTAAATTAGCGAGTAATTGAAGCTTGACAGCAATTTCATCCCCAACTTTAAACAAGACAAATGAAACAATGATTCTCGGAGGATCTCTCAGTGTCAGGAGTGGCTTCTTTGATTTAATGCCAATCTCTCGAAGGCTCCCTAATTCTAATAAAGCCTGTTTTTTAAATGACCTAGCTTTTATTAATCTTTCTTCATGTCGGTTGGCGTTGTCTTCAATAGGTGTGTTGACGAAGCCACCTCAGTCAATTGCAGTAGAATATTTTGTCAAATAGGGACATGGTTTTGCTTGATATTCCCTTCTTGCTTAACTTGTAAATTTCTTGAAACTCGTGGAACTCCACTGCAAAATCTATCATCTTAGCGATCTTCACCGTATTTGCGCTCTAATAATTGGTAGTCAAACTACTTGATATGTCGGTAGTTTGAACCTTAGGTGCCACTAGATCTTTATATTAAATTTTTCTCTTCTAACTCCTCTGTATTAGCAAAGACCTCGAGTACCGCCCCACCCCCCCTCCCTCCCTCCCTCCCTCCACATCGCGCAGTACTCCCTGGAAAAATGTGTGTTTGTAGCACTGTTTTTCCTCATTTTCTTTTTTTTTTCTCTTTTTACTCCAGACTATGTTCCAAGTTTGTCGTTACAAGTTGGAGAAGAAGCAGCATGACGCAGTGACTTCAAATGATCTTCCCCAGGATTATAATAAGTGAGTGTCTTCAATATTTTGGTGTTTCTTTTTTTTGGCCATGTCCTCATCACAGAACAATAGATGGAGAAAGGGGGTGGGGGGGGGGAGGATAAAACTAGGATTGGAGGGAGAGAGAGAGCTTTATTGAGAACAAAGAAAAAGCCTAATTGGGTGAGAGAGAGAGTGGTTTGCTTGAGTGGTAAGATGCGGGCCATGAGATCGGGAGCATGTGAGTGTGAATATGTGTGGAAGTTTAGATAGGGGGCCTACAACAAGTAACTCGGTAAAAATATGTCTAGAGTCTTTCCCACAGCTGAGTTGGTCCGGTGTCACAGCGTCTGTCGTAACTATGATACATGATGTTTTGATGGGAGTCAGAGGGAGTCAGCATCACTGATGAAGTGGGATGGGAAGGGAAGTTTAATGGAAGCGCGGGATCACCGCATAATTGTCATAAAATTGACTTACCTATACAAAATGTTCCACGCATTGACAAATGTGACATGGCAACAGAAAACGCAAAATAGCAATATATAATACCATAGTGCATGCGGTGCGAGGTTTGTATAATGAAATTGATGCACAAGAGGAGTCTTTGTCAATTTGAAATCTGGGAGCAGAAAGTTATCCATTTCCGCATATGCTGTGTATTAGTTATTCGTAATTGGCAGACTTCCAAGGCTCAGCTTTTTTGTAATCTAATCTCTGCTTTCTTGGATGTTTTCAAGTCCGCTATATTCAAAGCTTCTTGACACTAGGTGATTTAATTGAATGATTGGTGATGTAGTTCCAGCTAGCAATTCCAAAGTGTATCTACAGCGTGACCTTAGAAGGGAAGACGAAGCTAAAGATGACGACAATTCATCTCAACAAGATCCAATCGCCTCGGAAAAATGGCCCAGATAAGCACCATTATTAACTAATTCAAATTAAAAATTTTAATATTGTCAATGAAAAAAAGTTTTAATAATTTGCAATCATTTTTGCTCTCACACACTTGGTCATTCCATTTTGGCTCATTTGTGGGATATCTCTTTAATCAAAGCGAATGGTTAAATGTACCAAGATTGTGGCGAGTGATAATAGCTGTCATCGTTTCATTCACTGGAGTGGGAAAGTAAAATTTGAAAATTTTGATCATAAAATGAATTGTTCCCATATCGTAAAAAAGCCATCACTAAATCCCACCGCCTATTTAAAAGGTTTCTCAAATGGTTTCAGAACCCCTATGCAAATTCACTTTTATACACCCAGTAACCGTTAAAAAGAGTTTACATTTCATGTATCAGCATTGCGAATTAAATGCGAGCACACGCCATGAAGGATAATTAAAGCGAAATCTCTTGTCTTCCCCCCCCTCTCTCTCCCCGCCCCCTACCCTCCTCTCCTGCCCCCCCCCCCCCCCC